ATGCTTGTATGTGTGGTTTCATGCTTTTCCCAATAAAATATAATGCTTGTACGTGTGGTTTCATGCTTTTCCCAATACAATATGATGCTTGTATGTGTGATTTCATGCTTTTCCCAACACAATATGATGTTTATATGTGTGGTTTCATGTTTTCTCAATAAAATATGATGTTGTATGTGTGGTTTCATGCTTTTCCCAATAAAATATGATGCTTGTATATGTGGTTTCGTGCTTTTTCCCAATAAAATATTATGATTGTATGTGTGGTTTCATGCTTTTCCCAATGAAATATGATGCTTGTATATGTGGTGTCATGCTTTTCCCACTGTTACTATTACTATAATTTTCAAGGTTCTTGATGGAACAGAGACCTACTTTTGAAGGAAGCGGTTTTCTTCTTTCAGCTGTTTCACTTGTTGCTTGAAGAACTCGAATGTTTTATCCACATGATACTTGTAAGAAGAAAGACGGTGAAATGCCCAACGTTCCGGTGGTGTGGCCTATATTTGTATTTACTTCTCAGCGTGAAATTAACATCTGTTTGCAGCTGATGCAGTTCCCAGAGCTAACCTATTTGTATATAAACTTTACATGTCATTTTCCCATGTTAATTGTTTCAACTATTCATATCTCTTTATTTGATATTTATAGGGGGCGCACCCCATAGTCTAGTCTATCAATTCAAACTTAGGTACGACTTGTGTAATTTTGTAAGTTCGGAAACATTTTCTTCATTCTGTCTATATTTCTATAATTGGTGGATTTTGTTTGTACTAGAAATCATAGAACTATATCGTTGAAATGAGCTTTCTTTACATTCGCTGCCAACTTCTTGCTATCGGCTGTATCATTAATATTGTCATTAATATTGTCTTTAATATCTATTGGTTGTATCATTAATATTGTCTTTAATATCTATCGGCTGTATCAATAATATTGTATCATTAATATTGTCTTTAATATCTATTGGTTGTATCATTAATATTGTCTTTAATATCTATCGGCTGTATCAATAATATTGTCTTTAATATCTATTGGTTGTATCATTAATATTGTCTTTAATATCTATCGGCTGTATCAATAATATTGTCTTTAATATCTATCGGTGTATTAATAATATTGTTTTAATATCTATCGGCTGTATCATTAATATGGCCTTTAATATCTATCTATGATCTAATATCTTAAGTTTTTTTAAATAACTCAAGGACAAGACAAAACATTTTATTTATGCAAGTATAACTAGTCCTGTACCAGACATTGTACTGTATTGTAATGTAATATACCATACACACCTACATATGTACATATATACATATTAGGTCGTCAAGAAATTAATGTCGCTTTTTTTAGATAAAAATACCCGAACAACTTACATATCGAAACAAAACATTTATCAAATATAATAGTCTCCATTCTTATCGATGATGCTTTTTCATCTTACAATCACATTGTTTATGCCCTGATTAGAGAAATCACTTGGCTTTGAAGCAAAAAAAAAACATGTCGATGTCCTCTTTAACACGTTCCATATTTGCATATGTTTTCCCATTAAGATGGTGTTGCAGCGAACGAAAAATTTGGTAATTTGATGGTGCCATATCTGGAGAATATGGTGGGTGGGGGGGAATTTCCCAACCCAACTCCATAATCTTGTGTTGCGTCAAACGTGCCACATGTGGATGTGCATTGTCATGGAGAAGAAGAACACCTTTCCGATTGACGAGTGAAGGGTGTTTCTGATGAAGGACTTGATTTAAACGTTCCAGTTTTTTACTATAGATCTCTACATTGACAGTTCGTTGTAGATTTAAGAGTTCGAAATGAATTAATTACTCCTTTGATGTCTCACCAAATACAAAGCATCACTTTCTGTGGATGGAGTCCAGGTTTTTGGGTCGGCAGTGGTTTTTGTCTAAGACTGAGCCATTGTTTTTGGCGTTTAATATTCGCATAGATAATCCATTTTTCATTATCGGTGAAAATTCTGTCCAAAAATGGTTCAAGCGCCAGAAGAGACGAAGCAACGTTCACATGTTGGAAACGATGACCATAGGGAGTTCGTGAGGCACCCAAACACCTTCTTTAAGGGGTTTTCCCATATTCCTTAAATGTTTACGTATTGTTTCATAAGAGACATGCAATT